AACAACAACAACAACAACAACATATATAATGATAACTGCAAAAGAAATGAATAAAATAAAAAAAGGAAGAGCCCAGGAGTTGGCATAATTGTTTTATAGGAAGAAAATGTATTTATTTATTCATGCTGCAAATTCAGTATGTTCAAATTTAATAGCCATTCTGTTGAAGTCACTGTAATAGGACTTTGTTTTGAAAGCATTATTTCAAGATAAAAGCACATTGTTTATCACGGGGAGACATTTCAATACCGCAGGTGAACAACACACATCACAAGGTAACGTGTTTGTTGTAATTCATCAGGTACAAATGAACTAATGGCTAAGTCATGGTTTTCAATGTTGAAAAATTTCTCTTGATATGTGCACGGCTCAGTGATAACAAGGGATGCTTACATCTGTGGAAAGGTAGTGGGTGAGACAAGGAGACCGTCTCTGGGGGCCCATTTCGTCCACTAATGGTTACTCCACAACTTGAACACCAGAGGACTTTTCCTTCCTGGTGCCTGCATCTAAGACGCAGTGCTTAGAGACTCTTTCCAGCAGGAGACTAAAGGATAGTTTTTTTCTAGATAAGGGAGCGCTGGCAGTGAAGTGGTTAAATCATTTGCCTACTCACCAGAATGCTAGTGGTTCAAACCCACTAGCCATTGTGTGGGAGAAAGATGTGGCAGTCTGTTCCTGTAAAGATTTACAGCCCTGGAGTTTGCTATTGGGTCACTTTGAGCTGGAATTGACTTGAGGATGATAGCTGTTTGGTCTTACTCACAGCGAACCTGGAGAATATACCTGTAAGTACAGACCCTAACTATTTTATATCAGAGATGACATTGGGGAATAAAGCCTCTCCATCCAGTGACCAGGGAGGCTTGAGAAGACTGGAAGTTGCCGTACAGGAGAAACCACTCCGAACAGCTTTAGTGTAAGTAGTCTGTGGGTTGGATGAGACTAAGTAAAGAAACCAATCCTTAAATTAGATGTTTTGGAGTGACTCTGGACACTGGAATAATAACTTTAAATACCAAAAATGTGCAAGGAATTACCTTTTATTCTATTATACACATAGCAACTAGTTTTTTATTTCTGTTTTTGGGGCTGATAATTACAGCTATGCAGATTGAATAGTAGACGAGTGAGTCAGGTCCAGCCCAATGTGGTCGCTCAGCAGAGATTCGGGCTCAGGCATTAACCAAGAGTTAAACAAAGGGAAGACTCTCCTACGTCACATGTCTAGGTTCCATTGCAGAGAAGACTGCAGCAACACAAGATGGAAAACATGCTCTGCTTTCTCATTGGTAGGGACATGCACGCTTTGAAGGAAAAAGAATAGACACAGAGCACTCCAATTGAAAGAGGGCCGTTGAATTCTTCACTTCTACAGAATCCTGCAGCCAAGAGACAGTTTGGGTTGCCCAGGGTTCCACAGTGCAGGACACTGGCGTTCAGGGCTATTACTAATAAACGGAGGATTTCGTGTGCTCCGCCCATAACTCACACTTGTTGGTACTTAGTAATACTTTCCAGAGTTCATGTCCTTTTTGCGATAAATCCAGCCAAGAACAATACTTGCTCTCCTGGGCCACATAAGCTGCTAGCCTGCCTGGTTCTCTAGGCAACGCATAACAGCTGGACCACTTCAGGTAGCAACTGGTGAAGACACGATTAACATTAAAAGAGTTAGAAACCAAACCAGCAAACTAAAGACGAAGGCTTTCTGCTTCTATACATCTCAGAATAGCCATTCCCAGAACAGCATCTACCTGTGTTCTTTGGAGTTTCAATGCCAAACTAATTCCAGCTCTCTTTGAGCCAATTTGGTGTCACCAACCAAATGAATAGGATTTGCTACTTGCTGAGTTTTTAGTATAAAATGCTAAATAAATCGCAGCAGTTTGCTGTTAATATGGTTCGGGTGATATATTTATCAAGTCTCGTGCCCATGTTGTCTCTGGGCTTAGTCATCAAGCAAGCCGTCCAGAGCATCAATTATTTTGATACCACCTGGACTTGAGACATATATGTGGCCTCAGTTCCTTTTCTGAGGCAATAATTGTTATTGTTATATATCACCAAGTTGGAACCCACTCATAGCCGACCCTGTAGAGGATTTTCAGGGCCTGTAAATGGCATGGGAGGAAACTGCCCATCTTTCTGTCTTGGGTTAGCTAGGAGATTTGAACCATATGCCTCTGGGTTGGTAGTTCCATTCCTTACAAGTTGAATGCAAGTCACTCTCTGGAGAGGAACTCTTGCCCATGAAATATCACGCACAGTATTAGGTTAGTTCAGCTGTGCAGTGTGTGTGTGTGTGTGTGTGTGTGTGTGTGTGTGTGTGCGTGCCATGGGGTTGGAAGGTACACCCAGGAAACCAGCCTTCTGTGAAGTCTACCTGCTACTGCAAGTAGGTGAGAGGGAGCTTACAAAACTGTTTGCTTGTTCTCCTCTGTGATGCAAGGTTGCCTGTGTGGGGTTAGATGGGAGTTTTCCATCAGTTCATAGTCATCCTGCATGCTGGGAAGGTTTTGTCTCCTGTCTCGGATGACGATGGGGACTTGAATGCCGGTGCTATTCTTCAGAGAAACTCTCTGGCCCTTGTACGCTTGAGCCTGGTGCTTGCAGATCCCAAACTTGCTGAGCAGGATAAAAACGTCCCTCTGGAAGGCCTTGGTGAAGATGGCATAGAGGAATGGGTTGGCACAAGAGTTGAGGGGATAGAAGAGCACCAGCAAGATTTTGGAGTTGGTGACGGTGATGAGAGGCTTGTTCATAAGAGCCGACAGGGCGTAGAATGAGATGGGGGCCATGCACAGGAAGTCGGTGAAGATCAGTACGGCCATCCTCTTGGCAATCTTGGTGTCTTTGTCGCCGGGCTTGTAGTGGGGATTCCGGACCGTCAGGTAGATCTTTATGTAACAGAAGCACACGATGACGAAAGCCACGATGTTGAGTAACAAGACAAGGACGATGTAGGCCAGAGCAAGAGGCGTGTCAGTGTCCATGGGCAGGCAGATGCTGACCTTGGCATAACTACTGATGCCCAGCAAAGGGAGCACGGCGAGCAGGAAGCAGCAAAGCCAGCCCCCAACCATGATGGCATAGGCATGCCTGAGACGGATCTTCCTGTCGAGGCGCATGGCGAAGGTGATGGCGTACCAGCGCTCCAAGGTGATGACTGTCAGGGTGTACACGGACAGCTCACTGGCGAAGACCGTGAAAAAGCCGGCAGTGTTGCAGCCAGGACCCGTCTGCCAGTCGATGGCGTGGTTGTAGTACTCCGAGTGAGTGTAGAGGTCTACAGACGCAATAAGGATGAGGTACATCCCCATGCAGAAGTCCGCAAAGGCCAGGTTGCACATCAGAAAGCGGGGCACCGTCCACTTGTAGTGACTGGTGAGGAGGATGAGCAGCACGAAGACGTTGCCCAGCAGAGCCAGTAGACTCACGAACCACACCACGACCCTCAGGGACTTGTAGCCCATGATGTCCTCGCAGGGGTTGAACTCATCCGACTTGGGGGTGCACACCATGTCCTCATTGCCCCCACACACCAGGTAGTCATAGTGACTGTCAAAGGCCTGTAGGGTCTCCTCCGGGGGGTATCTAAATACCTGGCCAAAGTCAGTGAGCTCCTCCTCCTGGTCCTCCAAGAACACGTAGTAATGAGAGCCGCCAGCCTCCTGGAACGTGGAGCTTTTGTTGTGCCCAGTACTGCGGTCACGTGGCCTCTCGTAGTTCTGGTACAAGGAGCCGCTCAAGGCCTTCACAGAATCCCTCTGATGCAGGCTTTGAGGACTGCTGTCATTGCACAGGAACGCCTCAAAGATGCTGTAAGGCAACAGAAACAAGTCACTGCCGAATCTCACTGCTTGTCCTGGTAGGATTTCGAAAAGCATGCAAACCTATTCCTAGGCTCGATAGGACTCTGCATGGTCTAGTCATGCCTGCCTCTTCACTGTGCTCTCCTCCTCCATGAGGAGGTAGTGTGAGTCTTGGAAAAGGCGCAGCCTGGGTGCTCCTTGGAGACAAAGATGGCAAAGTTCCATCTCTCATACATCAGAGAGGTGATTTCTTGAAAAGCGAGATCATGTTAAGAAAGGTGGAGGGTCGGTGAAAAAGAGGGAGACCCCTGACGAGATGGATTGATGCAGTCCCGGCTGCAACGGGCTCAAGTGAATCAGAGACATTGAGGGGGACACAGGATAGGAAAGGATTGGGATCTGTTGTGCGTAGGATTGCAATGGGGCACACTTGACTCAATGGCACCTAACAACAACAACAAGAAGGAGGCAATGCTGCTCACCTCGTCTTCATCTGCACAGACTTTGAGGACAATACTGTTAACAGTATGGATGGTGGAATCAGCCTGCTGCGGTTCCCAAATCACAGTGCCTGTTGGCCTGTCACAGAGTGAGTACAAATGGTGAAGTGCTCAACTAGAAACTGAAAGGTTAGAAACCAGGCCTGGTGATCGAATTCCAAAAGTTCAAAACCACAAATAAAGCCCACTGCTGTTGAGTGGATTCTGAACCATAAAGACCCTAGAGAACAAAGTAGAACCGCCCCATAAGGTCTTCCACGTCCTAAGCATTTTCAGAAGCAGCCAGGCAGTTTTTCTTCCTAAGGAGCAGTTGATGGGTTTACAGTGTTGTCCTTTGGGTTACCTGCCCAGCACTTTAGACTCAGTGCCACCAGGGCTCCTCCAAAAGGCCAGAATCTCAAAAACCCTACAGAGCAGCTTTACCTCTGTGCACAAGAGGCGCCAGAAGTCAGAATTGACTTGGTGGCAGCTGACAACAGCCAACCTCTATTAATTAATTTACAAAAAGGAATAACTGGAGTATCTAGTTCACACAGAAGGAGCCCTAGTGGTAGAGTAGCTAACCTATCAGGCTAATAACTGAAAGACAGAGGGGACTCTGGTGGCTTAGTGGTTAGGAGTTTCACTGCCAACCCAAAGGTGTGTGGTTCAAATTCACCAGCAGTGCTGGGGGAGAAAGATGGGTGATTTCCTCCTATATGATTTACAGCCTCTTAAAACCAACTGGAAGGGTGACAATAAGTTAGTTCTGATTCAACTTTGTGTAACAGCAACAACAACAAGAGAAAGATCGGCAGTTCAAATCTATGAACTCCTTTAGTAAAGATTTACACACTTGGAAACTTGATGGAGGGTTACTATGAGTTAGAATCAACTTGAGGACAGTGGGTCAGTGGTAATTTCACATGGAGATGTTAAAGACCTGGATGAGGGTGTGTTGTAAAGCTCTTCTAACAGCATCTGACACCGGTTGTTGGTTGCTGTTGTTATGTACCAGGGATGATTCATAGCGACTCTCTGAACCACAGATCTGAATCCCATCCATCCTAATCTTCTCTGACATTCTTGGGCCCATTGTTGCTAGCACCATATAAGTATATTGGGAATACTATCTTGGAAATAATCTTCAAAAACCTTCAGGGATTTACGAATAAAAATACCTATGTGGAGAATGGCAAGGACAGGCAATCTAGGGTGAAGGGAATACATTTCTCTAATTCTCAATTATCCTGGAAAGAGAGGCTCTGGAGATCAACGAATTGTTTTAACAAGTGAAATTTCAACAGTATTACTTTTTTGTTGTTTTTAGGTGCTGTCAAGTACTACCCATAGCAACACTATGAAGAATAGATCTGAACCCTGTTCTTTCCTGTGCCATCATCCTCACACCTCCAGACATTGCAGCACATCCAGAGCCCATTGCAGCAGTCACTGTGTCAATCTGCCTGGTTGAGGCTCTACCTCTTCTTCTCTGATCCTCCACCTTTCCAAGCATCATGTCCCTCTCCAAGGAATAACCCCTCTTAGAAACATGCCTGAAGGATGTGAGGTGAAGCCTCCAAAGAGCACTCCAGCTGCACCCTCACCAAGACATATCTGTTTGTTCTCTTGGCCATCCATAGGATGTTTAGCGCTCGTTTCCAACATCACAGCTCAAAGGCATCAATTTTCCTTCTATGCTCCCTAGTCATTATACACATAGTATAATAGAAATTTACCGAGAACATCAGGGGTCATGATTGTTGAGTCACTATCAAGTATATTCTGACTCAAGGCTTTAAGGCATGTGGTTCAAGGCCACTAGCTGCTCCTTGGGAAAAGGATGGGCAATCTCCTCCCATGGGACTAACTGCCTCTGAAAACCCACTGGAGGGTCAGCTGTGGGTCGGTTCTGACTCGATGGTACAATACACAATAAAAACAACATCAAGTCAATTCTGACTCAAGGAGACCCCCTGTGTGTCAGAGCAAAACTATATTCAATAGTCCTCATACTGACTGGTTTTTCAGAAGGTGATTGACAGGCCTTCCATTCAAGAAACATCTATATGGGCTTGAACCACCAACCGTTTGATCGGTAGCTTAACATTCAACTAATTCCACCACCGAGGTATCTGGCATGGGGATAGGTATTTTCTATTCATCTTCTCACTGAATTTTCTTCCAATCGCTATGAATGACAACATTACAGTTTCCACTGTCAGAGCCTCAGGGCAGTTTGTGAACTGGCTAGGATAAGAAAGCTAGGAAGTGGCAGAGCTGAGGTCCAGATCCAGTTCACTCCAAAGCCCACACATATGCACCCAATAAACCATGACATCTGTATGGTCTGAGTGGGGTAGGTAATCCAATTATTGACATGGTTGTGTTCTCTGCAAGCTTACTCTGTGTAGGATCTCATATGCATCCCCACTGGCATCAAGTCAAGTCCTGCTCATTGTGACTCTGTAGGACACAGCAGATCCCATGGGGTTTCCAAGGCTGTAAACCTTTATGGAAGAAGATTGCCTCCTTTCCCCCCTGTAGAGTGGATGGTGGATTTGAACCACTAATCCTCAGGTTAATAGGGAATTCCTTAACTACTATACCACCAAGGCTCCCTCACATCAATGATGTGTCGCAGCTGCAGCCAGAAACCATGTTTGAGCAATGTGGTGTGAGCAAGCGTCCGGTCATCACTGGCCCCTGGATTTACTGGTTTGGTGGATGCCTCTGATTCTTCTCCACAGGGTTTTCAAAGCAAACAAAGTTGCTTTCCCAAAGTCAAAAGTTAATTCAACTTCCACCAGGCCTATTATCACTTCTTTTGGACGTGTGCTACTTACTTTCGCCTTTTCTTCTGGTCCTTAAACGCGCAGCAATGGCTTGGATAAGACAGGTCAGCTCGACTGAGGTGAAGGACGCTCAGGGAAATCGGGAGCTTTTTTAGAGTCCAGGTGTTTCTGGCTATCAGCTCCTTCAGGTGGTGTAGGCCTTTGGAGGGCAGGGTGGTGACGCTGGTATAGGAGATGTCCCTGCAAGGGGGAGAACAGAACAAAACAGGCGAGATGAGCAACCGGGGGCTTCCGGGCTTTGTCCAGGAAAGCCAGCGTGTCTGAGCGTACTCAAGAGAAGCTATGGCCTTTATACTATTAGATGTGCCTTCTGAGTTCCTTGTACACAGCCCCTGGTTTAAGAAGGAGACTTGTTGCTACGTGCCAGCCAGTCGGAACCGACTAATAGCTCACTTTTCTGGAAGGTTTTCAGAGGCAATTAATCACACCGGAGGAGTTTGCCCGTCCTCCTCCCTCAGAGAAGTTGGTGGATTTGAACTGCTTGCCTTTGGGATTACAGCACAACTTCTTACTACTAGGCCACCAGAGGGCTCCCTTGTTTGAGGCTATCCAAAGGCTCTCGGGAAGAAAGGCCTGGCAATCTATTGGTGAAAAGATCACAGCCACTGAAGATCCTACAGATCCTACAGAAGAGGAACTGCAGTTCTCTGAAATCACAGCTTGGCGTGAGGCAGGCTTCAGGAGAACTGACATACATGTTTTTGCTGGTCTTAGGAGTAAGTTTAGAGGGAGGCCTAGTGGTAAGAAGCTACTCCGAGGAAGAATGATGGACAATCTCCTCCTATGCAATTAATGGCTTCACAAAACCCACTGGAGGGTCAGCTGTGGGTCAGTTCTGACTTGACAGCACAAAACAACAAGAAGCAGTAAGTTGGAGCTTCTAAGCCAATATAGCGAAGGTCTGGTGGTGCAGCGTTTCAAACACTCAGCTGCTAATAATGAAAGCTCAGTAATTTGAACCCACCAGATAATTACCATTCCAAATCTGAAATGAGTTTCACGTCAACTCTAAAAGAACGAACTGTTCTGAATGGCGAGGCAGAGAATAAAGTAGACACTAATATCTCCAGCAGGGAATTCGATTCGTGGTGACTAGGAAGAATATTGGAAGTACCCCGAGTGTCAGAGGAAGGAGCAAACCGGTCGTGCAAGCACAGCCAGGGGCTCCCTAGAAGTGAATATAGATTCGATTCCACATTCTTAGCATATATTATCAAGAGCTGGCAGTCTTCGGAGAAAGACACATTGTCTTGGTAGAGAGTGAGGGGAAAAGAAAGTCTTGGATGAGATGGGTTGAAACAATATCTGCACCAATATGCTTCAACATGGCGACAGCTGGGAAGATGCTGCAGGACCAGGCGATGTCTCATCCCTTGTAGCTGGTCACTGTAAATTGGAACGGACTCATTGGCATCTAACAACAACAGGGTCATAATCTCAGTGGTTTGCTCAGTCCTAATGTATCCAGGTTACATGTATTGTACTGCCATTTGCTCCTTGGAGGCAAAGATGATGAAGCTTGGCCTCACATACTTTGGGCATGTTGCTAGGAACGGTTATATCTTGGAGAAGGACGTCATGCTTGGGAAGGAGGAGCGTCGGCAACAGAGAAGACCCTCGACCAGGTGGGTAGACACGGTGACGGGACAATGGTGTGAGTGTGTCAGAGATTGTGAGGATGGCACAGGAGAGGACAGCGTTCAGATCGGTTGTTCATAGGGTCGCTATGAGTTGTACTCCACAGCATCTGACAATAACAACAACAAGAAGCTTAGCTAAGACCAAGCTTGGCTTTGTAGTTCAAGCTTGGCTTTGTAGTTGATCAGACAAAGTACTGACTAAATATTTCCTGTTGTTGTGTGCCACTGAGTTGGGATTGACCCACAGCTGACCCTGCAGTGGGTTTTCAGAGGCAATCAATCACATGGGAGGAAATTGCCCAGCCTTCTCTCGCAGAGCAGCTGGTGGATTCGAACTGTGTGCCTTTTTTTAAAATTTATTTTCAAAATGTTGGGTTTTTTTTATTATTAAATTTTATTAATTTTAATGAACATT